ATCTTTTGCTGCTTGAGTCTGACCGGTTCCTACAAATCTCTTGTTCAGGAGCTATGAACTGGGTTCAACGTAAGATCTACCTCTATAATGTCACTTTTGGTCTCTTCATGCTGGATTGGTGGGAGCGTTACCTTTTTAGTATCCTTTTTATCTATTAGATCCCTCTGTTTTATTTTATCTTTCTGTTTTTTCCATTCATTGAATTTTGATTATAGAATTTGAGCTTGCGAGTTCCTAAACTTTGTGCAGATATTTTGATGGTCGTGTTGATGTGGTTCATTTTCTACAATGGATCACGATATGTCACTGAGTTTTGCAAGAGGCAGGTAGCATCAATACTCTTTCACCATCTTTGAATTGATAGAAATTGGACTTTTGGAACTTGGAATCCTTTCAGATTTTACTATTTCAAAACTCAATTCCTACATATTTAACTTGATTTTCTTAAAAGATTTGATTAAACCGAATCCCTTTTAAATCTGCAAGCATTAGTTTACAACAGTGATGTAGTAAAAATCCAAGTCCAGTGGATTTAATATATTCTGTTGCTACATCGGAGAAAGTTTTTTATACTTCCCAGTCGGTTAGGGAAAGGGACACTGAATTACCCTGATAGGACCATCAAGATCTTTACCGAGTAAGGTTTATGCTTCAAATGGAACTGGAAGTTCCAGACTTTGCAACAGGACCTTCCATTGGGTTTCTTCATCCTAGCCCTTATTTGCACTCTATCAAAATCTGGGGATATTAAAAGCTATGCCTATGTATGTTTATAGCAATATTGGGCCAGTATCTTGGGATAGAGCCGTCACCTGGGAAGTCAGGGCTTTAGTTCAAACAATCTCTCTGGTCCATCCATTCATTTCAAGGATTTATTGACATTGGCTCCCAATCGTCAAAGGCAACTTTTTTTTTATATTTATTCTTTTGTCTGAACTTTTTAGTTTTTACTATACTCCACATCCCTCCTTTTCCCCTTTAGTATGTTGATACACACAAAGATCATGCCGTATAGATTGAACTAAGCTTTTTTGTTATTATAGTTGTGAATTTTAGAATTGAAATAGGAACCTGTTGCCAGTAAAGATTCATTGACGTTTTACTAGGATTATTCATTGTAATAGAAATTCATTTAAATCAAGTGGTCAAGCAATTCCTTGCTCCCTGATCAGGATGCTTCTTCTTCAATTCATTCTTCTTTGATTGATTGAGTGTTCTGATCTTCCATGCATACATTGCTTTTTAGTGTTAGACATCCTTTTGCTTAGTCCTTGTTGCAAGGTAATGTTATGATTGGGGGCTTGTTCTTCATCCTTGATGATCAAGAAGTTCCATTGCCTCTCTATTTTATCTCTCTCTGCCATGAAGGTTAAACTGCATTCCTGTTGCATTCTACACTCTGCTTATCTTCTCATACCGTCCTGGCCTTTAAGAACTTGTTCTTTTTCTTCTTTGCTGTATGTTTTTTCAATTCTTCATGTAATCTTCGATTCTTGTTTAATTCCTAACATATCTGGATGCTGTTCAGCCTCCAAAATCAATTTTCTTCGTTCTATTGCCTCTAGACCTGATTGACTGATTCTCACCACCTTCGTTCTGATTCCTACCGCCTTCTTTGCAAGACTGTCCCCTTACCTTAGTTTCCCAAGGCTATCCTGTAACTACCTGCCTAGAAAGGAGCTACACAAGCTCACGGCTATCCATTTGCTTCATACAGTAATTTTTATTTAAGAATTCATTTGGATCAGCAATTTTTCCAAAAATAGATCGGTAAGTTAATATTCTAAATCAGATGATTTTGTTTGTCGTCATGGTGCATGCGTGAACGAAATATTTTCCTACTCTTTTTTTTTTGTTCTTTTTTTCTTTTTGAATGATTTGGTAGGTGGAAACAATGAAAGAGAGTCCAGACAGTAATCTACTTCCAATCTTCTATTTCGATTTGTGAATAATCTTGTTCTGTCTATTGGGTAGTAGAATAGAATGAAAACATTTAGGAGATGTGTTTTGGGCTGATGTTATCTCCCTTGAGTAATTTGAGGATTATTATGTTACTATTCATCCAAAATATTCAAGCAGGGACTGCAAAAAGATGCTGAATTGCTGCTCTCTGTTTCTAAGCTGATTTTTTTCCCCCGAAGAAAAAGAAAATTGCAGTCTAAATTCTTCTCTTGATTTCAGGCATCTAGGGTGAATCTCAGATATCAAATTTAGTAGCAATGTGAAAGATCACAAGGGAAAAAGAAACGTGGAATATACAAATGAAATTGTGACTTGTCTTTCCCGATCTAGTTTGACATGAGAATTTCCTACTTTTGATGCTTTTCCTAGACTTTAATCTGCACCATCCTTGTAATGATTATAAACCTTGGTATTAAATTTTGTAAAGATTCTGGAATGTATTCTTGTTGCTGTGATTGTTGAAACTTTTCTGTTCAATTGCAATGAATGGAATTTGCATGTCATACATCATATTCATTTTCATCCTGCTTTGAATCTTGAAAATGAGGGTTGCAGTGTGTGATATAATTTACGAAGTGAATGCTGCTGTGGCCTTGGAGATCAGTCTAATAACTCAATTAGCAAAATGATTGCAGAGTTTGTACATGTTTGGTTGTTTATGTATCTTTCCAAAGGAACGAAAGTTTGTCATCAGATTCGAGTCTAAAAGTAATGCTATTCTTTGGGAAATCATTCCACTTTTCTCTACTAGTGTTTCAAATAACGTCAACTATTCCGTGGTTGGTGTTTTGCAAAATCTAAAAGATTGTTGATATTATTTGAAAAATTAATTTAGAATCCGTATTTTCGGATGAATATTATTTTTTTTAAAAAATAAATTGAAAAAGAATGACGAAGATAAATTACAAACAGATTTAAAAGTATAGGAACTAATTAATTATTTATTAAAACTAGAGGGACTATTTATTTTCATTTGAAAAATATAAAAAGACTAATTTTTAATTTATTTTAAATACTCCTATACACTGTTACATTTGCCGTGAGTGAGTTGTATTTTATTGTTTAGCGAAAAAAAGCAATATGGGTGGAATGAGTAAACTCAGCAAGGGAAATATCAATTTTCTTTGATAGAATTATGAACTCATCACTCAACGCTCATGAGTCGAGAAGCGATCCTGTCCCCCTCTCTCAGGTGCCTGCAGAAATACAAAATGTATTGGATGAATTCTTGTGTTTGAAGAAACAAAGGGTTACCTCCAAAAAGAGATCATGAGCATGGAATTATCTTTAAGGTAGGGTCTGAGCCAATTAATATGAAGCCTTATCGTTATCCTTCTTTTCAAAAATATGTATTCCAGAACATTGTGCGGGATATGTTAAGAAACTAGAATTATTCAGGCTATTACTAGCCTCTTTTCTTCTCCAGTTGTCTTGGTGAAAAAAAAAGAGGGATCTTGGAGGATGTGTGTCGATTATAGAAGGGTGAATTAGCTTATCATTAGAGATCAATTTCCTATTTCAATTATTGAAGAACTTTCCAATGAATTGCATGGATCTATGGTGTTTTCAAAAGTAAATTTAAGGGTAGGATATCAGCAAATTTGGGTTTTTGAACCCGACATTTACAAAATTACTTTCAAAACTCATAATGGTCATTATAAGTATTTTGTAATGCCATTTGGTCTTACTAATTCCCCCAGTACTTTCCAAAGTCTTATGAATCCCTTTTTCCGATCTTTTTTACCTTTTTTTTTTTTTTTTTTTAATGGTATCCTTGTTTATAGTAAAACTTTAAAAGTGTATGAAGAACATTGACGAAAAACTCTTTCTATTCTTTGACAAAATGTTTTATTTACAAAGAGATCCAATCGCACTTTCGGCACTCCAATAGTGAAATATCTTGGCCACTTTATATCTCTGCTGCAAAAGTTTAAACCGATGACAAAAAAATTACAGCGAGTTCAAGCTTGGCTTCAACCTTAGAATCTTAAACAACTAAGTGGATTCTTGGGGTTAATAGGTTACTATTCAAGGTTTGTTCAAGGAAATAGGAAGTTAGCCAAGCCATTAATCGACTTGTGAAGGATGCTTTTTGCTGAAATTCTCAAGCAAGAGCTACATTTTAATAATTGAAATTAGCTAAGGTGAATACTCTTATGTTAACATTATCTAATCTGGATGACGTTGTAGTTGAAATTGATGCATCGGGAGTGGGAATATGATTAGTGTTGATAGAAAGAGGGCATCATATAGCTTATATCAATAAGGTACTTTCTCCAAAACATCAAACTCTATCCGTATCTAAAAGGAACTCTTTGTCATATTATTTATAATAAAAAAATGGCATCAATATTCATTATACCAAAAAAGGACATTGCAGGCGGTTTTTTGGCTTCTAGAGGCGATTATAATCGCCTCTAAAGATTGTAGAGGCGGTTTTCGGGACCGCCCCAAGATCGCTTGCAATGCCGTCGTCTCTACGGTGTAGGGGCGATTTTGGCAACCGTCCGAGATTTACGAGACAAGTTAGCTAGGGCGGTTGAAACCGCCTCAAAAAAATTTTTTGGGACGGTTCAAACCGCCTCTACGATACCGATATTATGGTCAAAGTTTTTTGGCACGTATTTTTTGGAGCGGTTTACAATCGCCTCTACATTCCGAAAGTTTACAAATTTAAAATCGCCCCAAACTATAAAATTCATAATTTGTATAACCGCCTCTACATTCCAGATTTTATAATTCGTGCATAATAAATGAATTTTGTTCCAAATTTATACGGATTTTATAATTCATCCTCCGAATTCAATTCTTTTTTTTTATATTTTGTCAAAAAATAAATAAATAAAAGAAAAGTTAATCTTGTTGAATGCAAATAAAATAAAAAAATTATATAGCTTACACAATATTCTTAAATTTGTAATTATCAAATTCCAAATACATAAAAAGTCATCAAACATTCACAAGTAAAAATAAAAAATAAAAAACTAAAAGATTAAACACTTATTCGAAATACATAAAAAAAATTCCAAATGAAAACTTCAACTTGTACTAGTATCGGAATTTGCTTGATAACACTCCAAAGCTTTATCAAGGTTATCTCGGTCTTTGTATATTATGCCTAAATTGTTGCATGCCTCCGCACAATGAGGATTGAAGTGGAAAGCGAGTTCATAAAACACAATTGCCTACTCAAATAGAATAGATTTACTCAATCAATGAATGATAAAATTACTACAATAAAAAGTAAATAAAACTATCTAAAAACTTAGTGTTACTACACATATAACTTTGTTTGCATGCTGCTATAAATTGGCACACATACGGATGGATATGTAGTCAAGAACGGGGTAAAATTCTTAGAAGACCACTCACCATTTCAAACTTCAACATCTCACCATAAGCAACACCAAGATTATACATAGTGTCGGCATAGTGCCAATTATAATATAAAGCCTTCTTGTAATATGCCACATCTTGATTTATATCTCCTTCAAGTTTAACCTAAATACACAAATGACTAAATCCAAAATCAAGCATGTACAAGAAAAAAATACTCTACAAAAAGTTTTCATGAAAAGACAAGCTACTTGAACATCTCAATAACATAATTCGACAAGTGAGTAAAACAAACGGAATCTAAGGAAAGACTCGCAAATGTGGATTCACAGACTATTATAAGATTAAATATGAAGGATGGAAAAAACCCACTTTTGTTCCTAAATCTATCAATGCTATTGTCATATTATTCTTTACAATCTCGAAGTTTCATAACAATATAATTACGCAACAAGCATCAGCAGAGGCAAAGCAACATAGAAGATATATACACGTTACATAAAGGGCCAAATTGCAAAGTTAAATAAGTAGCATGCATACCTCTCATAACAAGCAATGGCTGATTCTAGGTCACTTCTATTTTTGTAGATGACACCCATGTTGCAATATGCTTCAGACATACATGGGCCTCTCCATTGTAGCGTTTTCATAGCAACTAAGGGCGGTGTTATATTGCATCATTTCGGAATACACAACACCAAGGTTATAATATGCAGGTTGCAAATAAGATGTATGACTATTTACTTATGAAGAGTTGAAAATAAAAATAGAAGCACGGAATTTTGGGAGTGGGAATGAGAAAACATGATATTATAACATAGTGTGGATCTACTTTTAAGAGCTTCATAATACTTTTAAATTCCCTCTTGTGTATTACCCGAGAGCTTTAAGCTGGTTCCAAGATCTCGTTAAAACAATGGCTAGGCACTCCGAAGTCGGCTTGCATAAAGGATAAGCTTTCGCAGCCTTGTGATATGACTACACTAGGAAAAAATCACTAAACTCTTATAAATCAAATTTATCATATATAGTTACAAAGCCAAACTACCCAAAGCATGACCAACTCATATATAAACACGCATATAATTAGCAAAGACATAGTTCCAATACCTTGTAGAATGCTTTCATAAAATAATATGGCAAAAGGTGGTAAATACACCCTTATGCATAGCGACTCTCGAGTCGACTTTGATAGACAAGAATTTCATAGCTAACTAGAACATTTCCTTAAAAAAGAAGCCATGATAACTCAATATTCCAAATAGATGTGCCGAAATTCCTTGGTTTTTTACCGAAGGAAGACATGAGCTAAAATATTTCAAGTTTATGCATATTATACTCTTTATAACTCTTCTTCTTTAGAATACAAGATTTCCACAGTTCGGATGCACCCTCTCAAAACAATCCAATAACATAACATACGTAGAAGAAGAAACTTAAAAAGAAGTGTTACCCCCATTTTTTGACAAAAAGAAGGTATTCATCTAGCATCTTATGCATATCTTGCCTTTCAATTTCCCAATATGCCCTCACTTCCCGTTCTTTCAGCTTGCGGCTCGGAATTTGGTACCCATCGTAATTCAAAAAACACAAATATTAACCCAATTGGGGATGAAATGGTCATGTTAACCCACTCGCTTAAACTCATGATCACCCCAACCACACAAACTTGTAGGATGAAATGGCAATTTAACCAATCAAAAACAAAAGGCAAAACAAAGGGCAAGACCAATATTGTTGTTTCCACAGTGAGCAAAACCATGAAACCGAACTCACCTTATAAATGGCATGTTTATCTACTTATGAAACAATTCGATGGTACACACATGGCCCCTTAAATAGACTTGCTTTGTTTACTCGTAAAATAGCAACAACTTGAGCACAAAACGCCTTATTCCCTCACACTTGGGCTCTTCCATTCTAAGTGTAGAGTCCGGAGCCAAAGCCAAAGAACAAGCCTTAGATCGAAACATTTTATCCAAATTCACTCGTTAAAGAAAAACATACACTTCAATCCCACCATCAAGAAGCTAACTTAACATTATTCACAAAAGTGAAAACCCTCTCGCTAACTTAACATCATGCATTTCAATCCCACCATCAAGGCATTCTGCTACGGGCATAACCCCCTTCTATACAATTGAAAAGCTTAATCTAATTGATTGGCCCAAAAATCCCAGTAACCAAGAGCATATACACAAAGCAAAAAATCATTAGATGAAAGCAAAGCATTTAACCGGAGTGAAGCATTACGTCCAAATTTAACCTCTAATAACTAGAATGAAGCACAATTTATCTAAAACTAGTTATTGAATCCTCTCAAAGAAAAAAAAGTCTACAATGGCTTTATCTTTCAAGTGCAGCTATCGCCGCATCTAATTGAATAACGATGGATACATCAAGAAATTAATTAAAAAATAGAGAGAAAAGAACATATAATATAAAAATTAATTTAGCATACTTGTCATTAGAGAGATCAATGAGAAAATCAATAATAAGCACCCAATTGATTTGAAATAAGTCAATTTATGGATAGAAAAAACTCTTAAAATTAGAAATTAGGTTTTTTGGTAGATAGTTATAATCTAGTTTTTAACAAGGAGAGAAAGACAAACTTAGGGAGAAGAAGGAAGAAGCGAGCCGAAGAAGGAAACCCCTAAGAGGAGAGGGATAATGAAGCATCTCTTCTCCCTTTCGAACCAAAAAAAAAAAAAACAAGAACATGAAAGAAGCGAGAGGAGAAGAAATAGATGAGAAGAAGGGAAGCTCTCGACAATGAAGCGTCACGAGAGTTTGATCTTTTCCCTTTCGAACAAAAAAAAAGTAAAAGAAGGGAAAGTAAAGGAGAATAAGCATAGGAGAAGAAGGAAAACCTAACAGGAGAGGGATAATGAAGCGTTTGATCGGATCCGATCTTCTCCCTTTTAGAAAAAAAAATTTAGAAATAAAAAAACGTGCTTCTCCCTAAAACTTGGGGCGGTTCGGTAAACCGCCTCAAATTTGTTTCTATAAAATGCATATGAGTTAAAAAATCATTAAACTTTGAGGCGGTTTTCTAAACCGCCTCAACTATATCGCCTCTATACATCGATTTTGTTGTAGTGATTAGGCAAAAAGACACTTTGTTATAATGATAGATCACCAAAGACTTAAAAACACTTATTAGAACAAAAACTTCATACTTCCTCTCAGCTTACATGGTTAGTAAAGTTAATGGGATATCATTATGGCATTGTGTACAAAAAGGGTTGAGAGAACAAAGTGGCATATACACTATCTAGAGTACCTAATGCAGAACTATCTGTAATGGCCATACCTTCTATGTCAACTAATATACTATCTGTAATGGCCATACCTTCTATGTCAACTAATATACTACCTAGGGTGGTGTCTTCATTGTACTAAGATCGTTTATTTGAAGATCCTTATTGACCAACTTAAGGTAGAAGCTTCTAGTCATACTATGTACGTCTGGTCTAATGACAAATTATTTAGAGAAGGCAAAATGATGGTGGGTGTTGGAGAGGATTTACAAAAACATTTGATTTCGTTGTTTCACGACACTGCTATGGGTGAACATTCAAGAATTGAGGTTACCACAAAGAAATTAGTTATTGTTTTCTATTGGAAAGGGTTACCTAAATCTGTAAGAGATAATATTTGCAATTACCTAGCGTGTCAACAGTGTAACTATGAAACAATTGCCAGCCCTAGTTTACGGAATCCATTGCCAATTCCACAAGCAATCTTCACTAATGTTGCAATGCATTTTATTGATGGTTTGCCATTTTCTCAAGGGAAAAGTGTGATAATGGTGGTGGTGGATCGTTTAACTAAATATAACCATTTTTGGCCCTTGCTTATGCTTACACAGCTTAATCTATAGCTTAAGCATCATGGATCATGTATTCAAATTGCATGGTCTACCTCATAATATTGTTTTGGATAGAGATTCTGTCTTTTTGAGCAAATTTTGGAATGAGTTATTTGCCTTGTACGGAATTTCTTTGCAATTTTCTATTGCCTATCATCCACAATCAGGTGGCCAATCAAAAGTTGTTAATAGATGCCTACAAATTTATCTTCATGTCATGACTTCGTCCATTCCCAAAAACTAGAGCAGATGGTTGTCATAGGGTGAATTTTGGTACAATACTAATTGTCATTCTACTATTAAGATGTCTCTTTTTAAAGCTGTATATGGTTATGCTCCTCCATTGCATTTACCCTATTTTCCTAAGGATTTTAAAGTAGAGGAAGTTGACCAATTTTTACAAGAGAAGGAAGCTGTTCTAGCATTACCTAAGTTTCATCTTCAACAGGCTCAGCAAAGGATGAAAATTTGGCTAACAAGCATTGCACATATAGAGTGTTTCAATTGGTTGATTGAGTTTACTTAAAGCTGCTAGCATATCGTCAAGGATCAATATCTTATCGTACTACTCACAAATTATCCTCTCATTTCTATGGCCTTTTCAAGTTTATTAACAAAGTAGGCGAAGAGGCATATACTCTGAACCTTCCCAATTATGCTTAGATACATCCTACTTTTCATGTTTCCCAATTGGAACCAGTTTATGGTAGTCTGTCTATGCATGTTTCTTTGCTAGCTACTTTAAATGTTGCTCCATATCCCTTGTTATTTTAGATTGGAAGATGGTGAAACGAATCAATGTTTCAAACACGAAGCTCTTGGTTCATTGGTCGCTGTCTTACTGATGCTACATGGTAGTTTGCTTTTGATTTACAACAAAAATACCTAGATTTTAACCTTAAGGATAAGGGTTTTCAATAGAGAGGCATTGTTACAAAGTAAATGTTTTTCTGTTAATGTGCAGTGAGGAGATAGCAGAAGCTGTTACGTTGCTGCTCACATGTGAAGGAATTAGTTGCTACGTTGCTACTTACGTGGAAAAGAGTTAACACGTGGAGGCTTATGAAAATAGAATTAGTTAGTAGTTAGGGCGTTTGTTAGAATAATTAGTTAGACCGTTAATGGTTAGTTAACAGTTGGTCTATAAAAGAGAGAATAAGAGAAGAGGTGTTTATCTTGGATCATTTTCATAATACTTTCTCTCTCTTGATTTCTGCTGGATAATTCTCTCTATACAATAATTCGTATACATTACATTTTTCATATTACAAACTCATTGAATGTATTTTTTGCATTTACACATTAAATACACAGATTCATTCTTCAATCTTGACTTCTTCTTTTTGTACTTGTGAATTGTATCAAATGGATGTCGCTAGTTAGTTCCTCCTGCACTCATTTCTTTTGAATCCACTTTGAATCGTTTCATTTATGGTGGTTAATTTTCTAACTTTATTGTTTCTTAGTATTTTAATTTCTTGCTTGAATTCATTTTTATTTGGGTCTTTTAATCTTCGTTGCTGCTTTGCTATTAATTTTGTTTTGAGCTATTTTTATTTTTCTTCATATTTTTGTAATTGAAACAATCTCCATTTTGTTTTACATACTTACTAGCATGAATCTCGCATGTTTCCACAAAGAGAGTTACATAATTTCTCATGAGTGCAACCATATAAAATAAAGAGTTAAATTATTTCAAAATTTTTAAATAAATATACTTTATAAGAATAAAAAATAAAAAGTGTCAGATTGATTTTTTTATCAAACAATAATAAGAAAAAATGTCAAACGACTGCAATAAAAAGCA